TGTCCGAGTGGATCGAGGTCACGATAGCTCAAGTGGTAGAGCAACGGCGTATTTAGCCGAAGATCGTGGGTTCGAATCCCGCTCGTGCCATTAACTTTTTTATCTCAACTAAAAACCTTAATTGATTGTAATGTATTAATTGGTCAAGCGGACCACGAAATTAGTGAAGTTATTAGCTACTGTTCTATACTGGTTGTTGGCGGGAGGGGCTTTACTGCAATTATTAGCGTACCTCCCAATCCGTTTCCAGGAATTTGAATGTAGGGTTTCTTTGCTTGAAGGTGAATTGGAGGAGATAATCTAGTAAAAAAATATAATTTATAAACAATCAATACTATGATTGTACTTGTACATAAAATTGTAATGTTGTTACATTTACAACTAAATTCTTAAACACAAACAATTGGCCAGGGGAATATTAAAGTTAACAAAGTAAATTAATTACAATATTATTAAAAGCTAAAACAGAACTTTTTTTTGTTTGTTTGTTTACTCAGCTGATGGTTTGAGGTAGGTAACAAATCTTCATCTATTTGAACTGGTTCAGATCGAGGTAGCGGTAGGTATCGAGGTCAGATTCAGATGGTCGGGGATCAGGTGACGTGCGTGATGCCTTCGGCGAGGTTATCAGGTTTTTTCAATAGGTGTTCACTTCGCGACAAACATTTAATAGGTTAGGGAACGGAACGAAAACAGCGTAGGTGCGCACAGATCAAAGGTTCGATAAACACTGCCACTGCCTCCAAGCGAAAAAACGGGCCTACTAGATATTGTTTGTTTGCAGAGCCAACAGTATTTTAATGCCACATATATCACTTATATTAAANCTGCTCTACCACTTGAGCTATCGTGACCTCGATCCACTCGGACACTAACTTCCCATCTCAACCCCACCTTTTGAATTTTCCCTCCTTTTTGCCATTTTTGAATCCCGCTCATGCCATTGACTTTTTTATCTCAACCAAAACACCTTATTTAATTGTAATACTATAAATAATACTATAAAATCTATATATATTATAATAATTAGTTGTTAGGAAATAATAATAAGAAATTATTATGATGTATAATATAATGGCTGCCTAAGAGTTCTGCATTAATTACAACTAAAATTAAAAGTAATAAATATTGTTCCGTACCTTACTTTGGCAGAAAACTTATCGCCATATTGATAATAACAACATTCATCAAATTTATATAAAAATTACAAATTTTATTAAATTAATTATACAAACTATAATTATTCTGTTAATTAAAAAAATTAGATTTTAATTGTAATTAATTTTATATGATCTGTTAAGAATCTAATATTTTTTTATATTTGCAAATATACAGTGTATATATACTGTTACTTCAGAATTAAAAAATAAGTTGGAGGTAAAAACGGTTAATTTTCAATTAAAAAAGGCAGTTTGATTTTAAGAAGTGTCCATGGTCACAAACACCAAATAAATCTGCTCATATATAAAAAAAAGTAAATTGGTATTTTGACATGTAACTTTCTACATCTCATTCTCTGACATATTTTCCTGCGTCATTAAGCAAAGGTTAGCTCGAAAGGATAATTATAAAAATCATTTCAATAAATGTCCGATTGTCACAGGTAAACATCGTGAACCAGCCTAACATTTACTACAGTCTGCAAATATTTAAGGTCAAATTCTTCCCCGAAACCAATCAATAAACAACATGAATATTATTTTTGAAACAAACAAACTAAAGTACAGTAAATTTGTTATCGTACAATGTTGATTGATAATAATGAAAATAAAAATAATTAATTAATTTAAACCTGCCATACTTTAACAGCACAATTTTCAAAAGTATTAATTGAAACGTAATTAACACTTAAGAGTTAACATTAAAACAATATAAAATGTGTTCTTTATTATAGAAAAATCTAATCGCCTGAGCTTGCGTATTGAAAATGTTTGTTAGTTTGCTCAATATTCCACTAATCCATTTACCTTGTAGTGATCAATTTACCAAGTTACTTCTTGCAATTAATTATTCTTTTTATGTAAGGTTTTCGTTGAGATAAAAAAGAAGTCACGATAGCTCAAGTGGTAGACCAGCGGCGTATATTCCCGAAGGTCGTGGGTTCGAATCCCTCTCGTGACTTTTTTACCTCAACCGAAACCTTACATAAAAAAATAATTAATTAAAATTCCATTAATATTTAACATGATAAAATTAAACCTTGCTCTTTTGACAATAACTGTTCGATTATCATGACTGGGCATCGGCCTTACGTGTATAGCCCTGTTTGAAAATGTCTAGCAAGATCCAGTTCTTCGCCGGAACGAATCAGTAAAACCAAACTATTTTTAAAATAAACATATAAATAACAGTTAATTTTTTATCAAACTGTTTGACGATAATGAATAGACTGATTATCTATTTTATTTTATTTTTATAAACGTATAGAAATGATAACTAACTAAAAATGCGTATTGCGCAAATAACACATGAACACATTTCCGGTAGCCGGTTCTGCGTATTTTATCCAATATTACGTTAAAAATTACATTTAAATTATCCAGATTTTAAGCTGTTTTTTCATCATCTCTTCGGACCACCGGCTCTTATTGTGACATGTAGTTCAAAAATTGGCCTGAATTCCAAACTCTCCCTTGTGGACTTTTTGAAAGTGAAATAGAAGATCTAAAAGCCCTCTTCCACAACAGTTGGCCCTCAACTTTAAGGGAACTTGTTCAGGACCAAAACCTTTTCCAGGCACTCAAGACAGTAAGCCTGAAAATTCATGGCCGACAAATATAGAGCTCGTATTTTTTTATTCATTTAATTAACGGTAAATACGCTTTAATAGGCTCATATTCTCTCAAATTCTCCTCAAATTTGTAAATTCTAGTCAACATATTGTCAAAATCGTCCCCCCCCCAAAAAAAAAGATTTTATATATATATATATATATATATATATATATGTGTAAAGAGGAAATCAGCAAGGGGAGACCCATTAGTAGCTTAGGATAATTTAAATTAAAAAAATAAATTCCCATACCCTCCTCGTTCCTCGCTTTCGTAAGACCCGAGGAAGAATATATGCTCGTACATTTTCAGGGCCTCCCTAAAGTACTGCGGGGTGGTGAATGGGTTAAAAAATATATAAAAAATATCTCTGACCTCATTATTCGCAATGATTTAACGAAGTGATCAGATCGAAAAATAAAATAAAGCAAAATTGGGGGCGTCGGTGGCCGTATCGGTTTAGGCGTTAACACGGCGCTCATCACTGTAAGGTAAAGGTCCCGGGTTCGAATCCAGCGGCCCTGTATTCGAAGCCGACATACTTACAAATGGGCTTTTTTTCAAAAACATCGGCACCAGGAGGGTTTATATTGCTGCTGCGAACCCTCGTTAAATAAAAGAAGAAAAAAATAACCAAGATTGTTATAAATGAGATTAAAAAATTAAATATTTACAAAAACCAAAATTCAATATTAGTTGATTTTAGGTTTCTTTAGCACTTTTAACTAATACTTTTCAATGTAAATTTTGGAGCATTTTCTTTCTTCGATTTTTCTACCTAAAAAATTGTAATTCCTCTAGATTTTAATTTAATTAAACCTTACGACAATATTACAATAAATTAAGGTTTTTAGTTGAGATAAAAAAAGTCAATGGCACGAGCGGGATTTGAACCCACGATCTTCGGCTAGATACGCCGCTGTTCTACCACTTGAGCTATCGTGACCTCGATCCACTCGGACACTAACTTCCCATCTCAATCCCACCTTTTGAATTTTCCCTCTTTTTGCCATTTTTTTAAATGTCGAGTAATCGGATTGGATTCTCGACGACAAATGAAATGGCCACGGAGAACTTTAGTGAAGTATACTTCATTTATCTTATTAAATTTACTACGTTTCGTGGTCCGATTGACCAATTAATATTACAATTAATTAAGGTTTTCAGTGAGATAAAAAAATCAAAAGCACGTGCGGGATTCGAACCCACGACCTTCGGCTAAATACGCCGTTGCTCTACCACTTGAGCTATCGTGACCTCGATCCACTCGGACACCAACACTCCCATCTCAACCGCACCTTTTGAATTTTGGTGTCCGAGTGGATCAAGGGCATGATAGCTCAAGTGGTAGAGCAGCGGCGTATCAAGCCGAAGATCGTGGGTTCGAATCCCGCTCGTGCCATTGACTTTTTTATCTCAACTAAAAACCATAATTAATTGTAATAGATTAATTGGTAATGCGGACCACGAAATTAGTGAACTTATGACAATATTTGGAAAACACGTCATTCTACTATTAGTCTATGTTAATAACGTTTATATTTTATTTCATTATAAGTAAATAAAATAAATATGTAATGTGTGGAGATTAGTGGCCGTTAGTCTATGAAATCGTGTGATGCGGTCTGATGTGACGTAGGTTTCAGAAAAACATTTTGTTTATCGTGCCAACGTTTCGGTTTTTATTGAGATCATCTTCAGTGCTCAAAATGTTTGTTTTCTCCGTAATTGTGCCATTCAGAATTACGTTGAAACGGGTACGGAGGTTTGCGGGTCAATTTAGAGCCGACCTTCTCCACAACAAAAGGAAAAACTGATTTTTTAAGTGGAAATTCATCTCACTCAGATTTTTCCTTTACCATTTGTCACAGATTTTCATTAAATTAAGGGATTTGGAGTGTTGAAGGAAATTAGCTGCAAAATCATCATTGGGTATGTTCTATGATTGCATACTTTTTATTAACAACAAAAAGTGTAAGAATTTTTGGAACTATATATAATATATAAATTTATTTATAAAATATATGTATAATATAATATACATAAGAAACCTGTAATAATATTATAATATACACATTTACAAAAGAGAATCATATAAGATGTGTTGTAATTATACAATACTTTTACAATATACACTGAATATCAGATTTTAAAGTATAATTTACATTATAGAAATTCAATTACAGAAAAAAGTTTTATTTTTATATATAATCACTATTCTAGCTATGATATAAAAAACATATATACAGACAAACAATCTAGTCTTTATAAAAAAAATTATGATAATTTTAATGTATCTACATAATTATGAGCCATTGATGTATACATTGTAATTAATATACATGGTTTTTCCGGCCTGACGTATGTAAATTAAGGCACGGTTTAACGCACTGAATTTATGGGGCAAAACTGTACCCCGGAAGAATAAGAATCCCGTTTTAATGCACTTTAATCACATCCTACACATTATGCTAACACAAAGCTTACATTATATCAGATTAAATTTTAAAATCCTACACTAAACTAAAGACCGACGTTGTTGAAGTTTTTTGTACACCAAGTCTCCAAGTATTGTCCACCTATATACACGGAATAAATTAGGATTCGTTGAATTGTATGTACAAAAGAACAACAGCGATCATGTAACTATTGAGAGGATCCATGGGACGAATTTCGATATCCGCGTGCAGACTCCGGGAAGATTTTCCTCCCCGCACCCGATCCCCCAGGAGATGATGCCCGCCAGGAAAAACCTGCCGTCTTTGCCTTTAACCTGTAAAGGACCTCCAGAGTCTCCCTGGAAAAAAAAAGAAGAGATTATGTTTCAATTTGTATGCTATACAGAAAAAAATACTATTCACAATAGACGGAAAGAAATCGTGTAACAAGTTTTGTCGGAATCCCTTCCCCGGTCTTTACCCTCATAAAAATATAATCGGATCGCTTTATAAAAAAAAGTAAAAAAAAAATATTTTACGCCATTCCGAGGGAAATATCGACGCTTTGCGCGAACCCTTTCATCCCTCCATACATGGTGGAGTATTAGATTTTATATCTCGGGAAACGAAAGGAGATGTCAACAAAGAAACACACTTTCATCCCCCTTTGCAACTCCCTCATCCCCGCCGCACAGTGTGGATCTCCTTTTTACCGATTTGCAATTCTACTGCTTGGGTTATTCGCGTTTTCACCCTGCGACTTTCTACGCCCTTGTTTGCGTTTATACTGGTTTTGAATTTGCAATAAATTACAGCCGAGTGAAAGCATCCTTTCCGCTATTATGTAATTTGATTTAGCTTTGCGTCTGCTCCAGTCTAGGAAAATTCAAACCGCAAAATTCAATAAATGTTCTATTACAAGCGATGCGTAAATCGTTTATCTATGGACAGAATACCGGTTTTGCCACCAAACTTAATAACTGTTTTTAATTAAACTCATTTGACTGTAAAATAAACTTGAAATTTATTCTCCTTACGTTTTAAGAAAAGCTTTTGTTATCTCTTTGTAATTTTCAATTTAATTTTAAATACTCCTTATGAATATTAAAAAACAAAATTATCGCGTCAAACAATAAAGAAATTCATCATTGAAAAACTAAATACATTCAAGGGGATGGTACGGACGTACTACCAAGGATTTTAATGAAACTGATTGGTTATACATACATTTTAAATATTAATTTTTTCAATCAATTAATTATTCTTTCTAAGGTTTTGGTTGAGCTAAAAAAGTCAGTGTCACGAGCGGGATACGAACCCACGACCTTCGGCTAAATACGCCGGTTTTATTTCAATCAAGACCTTAGAAAGAATAATTAATTGATTGAGAGAAGCATCTTGGTCAATTGACTACGAAAACGTAAATGGATTAATATTTAAAAAGTAAAAGAAGTATCACTTCACTAACAGATCCCCGTGGTCACTTCATAAGTCGTTGAGAATCCAATCTGATTACACGGCATTTGAAAATGGCAAAAAGAGGGAAAATTCGAACGGTTGTAGGTTGAGATGGAGAGTTGGTGTCGGAGAGAATCGAAGACACCATAGCTCAAGTGGTTAGAGTAGCGGCGTATTTAGCCGAAGGTCGTGGGTTCGAATCCCGCTCGTGACACTGACTTTTTTATCTCAACCAAGACCTTAGAAAGAATAATTAATTGATTGAAAGAAGCAACTTGGTCAATTGACTACGAAAACGTAAATGGATTAATAATTAAATATAAATACTAAATATATAAAAAAGTAATAATGTGTGGTGTTTATTGACCGTTAATTAATGATCATTTGGAGATCATGAGATGCGGTCTGGTGTGACGTAGGTTTAGAAAAGCATTTTCTTTATCGTGCAGCGTTTGGATCTTTATTGAGATCACCTTCAAAGCTCAAAGAGTTTGTTTTCTGAGTACACGCCCCTGAAGATGATCTAAATAAAGATCGAAACATTGGCACGAAAAAGAAAATGTTTTTCTAAAACTACCACTGCCAGACCGCATCTCAAGATCTACAAATAAAAAGTAATATACTAAGAAAGTGAATCATTTTTACTTTTTTTGCCTTTTTTTAGTAATTCTGAATGGCACAATTACGGAGAAAACAAACATTTTGAGCACTGAAGATGATCTCAATAAAAACCGAAACGTTGGCACGATAAACAAAACGTTTTTCTGAAACCTACGTCACATCAGACCGCATCTCCCGATTAATAATTAATATTTTTCAATTGATTAAGGTTTTTGGTTGAGATAAAAAAGTCAATGGCACGAGAGGGATTCGAACCCAGGTGGGGTTGAGATGGGAGGTTAGTGTCCGAGTGGATCGAGGTCACGATAGCCCAAGTGGTAGAGCAGTGGCGTATCAAGCCGAAGATCGTTGGGATCGAATCCCGCTCGTGCCATTGACTTTTTTATCTCAACTAAAAACCTCAATTAATTGTAATATATTAATTGGTCAAGCGGACCACGAAATTAGTGAATTTAATGAATTTAATGAATTTAAATGAAATATACTACACTAAAACTCTCCGTGGCCATTTAATTTGTCGCCTAGAATCCAATCCGATTACACGACATTTGAAAAATGGCAAAAAGGAGGGAAAATTCAAAAGGTGCGGTTGAGATGGGAAGTTGGTGTCGAAGTGGATCGAGGTCAAGAAAAGTCAAGTGGTAGAGCAGCGGCGTATCTAGCCGAAGATCGTGGGTTTGAATCCCGCTCGTGCCATTGACTTTTTTATCTCAACTAAAAACCTTAATTAATTATAATATATTAATTGGTCAAGCGGACCACGAACTTAGTGAATTCAGAATAACCTTAAAATTCCTTTTGTCAATTCTAAAATCCAGATACATAAAATCCCACAATTCCCTTTCATTACACCTCATTCCTTTAGTTTTAATTATCATATATTATTTCCCAATAATCCCCCAATGAAATTGAAGCGGCAGTGGCTTCGCGACCTGACGGGCAGCGAGTCATAGCACGTAGACCTTACTAGAAGTCTCACTACTGAGTGATTCTTCACATTATAGTGCAACGTAGTTCCAAATTTTAAAGTTTGTACGTGTTGACAATTTTATTTATAGTATAAAAATAAATATTGTTGTAAAAAGAAAAATGTTTCTCTTCTTGTATACATTTTTTAGAATATAATTTACACAAAAAAAGGAAATAGTAAAATTTGTTACGATTTTCGTAGAAAGGCCTTGTTTAGTATTATGTTTTATCAGATTTAACTTCAATAGTCGTTATATTATTGAGTTAACGCTTCGGAGATAGAATCCACGGGGATTTTTTCTCTCTTTCGGCCCTTTACAAAGCTTTTCAAAGTTTTTCACCCGGGCATTTACATCGTAGAAATAAACAGAAGGAATCAACAGAAACGGCTGCAGCGTTTCCCAACCCCGGTCTCCCCCCCCCGCCGTATAAATATTCACCGTAAAACCTGTTAAGCAGGGAAAGGGGGCCCCGGCCGATGAATATTCCAGAGCGGTGAACGCCGGGGAAAAACAAATACTCGACAAGTAATTCCGCGCTTCTGTGAAACACAGTGGGGTCTACTATTTACAAACGTGTGGGGCGGGAATCCGACTTAAGCCCACAACTACTATCTACTGTATTGTGAATACCGAATTTTGAAGAGGCTTTGCTTATTCAACTTTATCTTTGAATATTTCGTCTGCGTTAAATATTGACTAAGACGAAATGAAAGAATAGTTGCATTTTAATAAAAACAATTGTTATTCTGTTTAATGTTACAAATAATGTTTATGTAGGGTATTGGTTGAAATAAAAAGTGAATGTCACGTGTGGGATTCGAACCCACGACCTTCGGCTAAATACGCCGCTGCTCTACCCTTTGAGCTACCTGGACTTCGATCCATTCGGACACCAACCTCCCATCTCAACCCCACATTTCGAATTTTCCCTCCTTTTTGCAATTTTTCAAATGTCGTTTTAATGTTTTATCTCAACCAATACCTTACAAAAAGATTAATTAATTGAAAGATGTTATTTGGTCAATCGGACCACGAAATCTAATAAATTTAAAAATAAGTTCGACACTACGAATAGTTCACAGCAAACATTAAAAAAAACATAATTATTAGTAGAAATACTTTGATTGAATATAAAAAATATATTTTGCATTGTATAAATTCACTTTTTCACATCCTAAATGTATTTGTTAAATGTAAACACTGTTTGTAAATCCCAGGCCCTGAAGATGATCTTAATAAAGATCGAAACGTTGGCACGATAAAGAAAATGTTTTTCTGAAACCTATCACACCAGACCGCATCTCACGATTTTTATAATTATCGATTAACCGTCACTAATCACCACACATTAAAAAAAGATTCGTTACATAACTGTAACACAACTGAAACCTTCATATTTTGGTAAGTTTTCTAATATAGAGAGTAGTTTTTTTTTATGCCAAATTTGTATTTATATTGTAAGTGTGTTTGGTTGATTATTTTCGGTTAATTTAAGTTTAATAAAGTTCTTTTGATTTGTGTAATATTTATCTTTTCATCACAAGAACATAAAAATATACAAGCATATCCTGCATTACAATCACAACCCTAAACGCATAATCAACAGAATAATCACCAACTTCAACTCAACTCTAAGACCATCCACTATCACTAATAACGCTACAACTATTCTATCAAACAGAGACAGTACAAATTACAAAAACATTCCAATTACCCATTTTCTCTGACACCCAGGCAGCACTTAGGGCCCGAGCCTCATGGGATGCGAAGGCAAAGAGTGTTACGAACTGCCTGGAGGGCCGCAACCCAACTCCTGACATGCCACATAAGAAAGGACATGAACCGGATAGAAGTACAGACAGAAGAAGCACTGGGCAGATACTGCCAGAAAAGGAGGAGACCGCAGAACACATTCTATGTTTCTGTGAAGGTCTGTGGAGGTATAGGTTCTTGTGAACTAGGACAAGAAAAACCACAAGAAAAATCCTACACCAAGGAGCCCCTGGAAAGGTATGGAGGCTGATTAATAGCCTGAAGCTGGACAGCGAGTTATAAATACCAGAGGAGCACAAGAATCTACCCAGGTCGAAGTGCAGTAGGCCTTGTGGTCACCTCTTCTATCCTTATCCCTATCCATTCCATCCGTTCACGGCCTATCACATAAATTAAACACATTTCTTTCTTCTGACACCTTTAAAATAGCCTTCAAAAACTACAAAATTATTCACACCCTTTTTTCCAAAATTAAAGATTCCACACCTGTAACAAATATGTCTGATGCAATTTACAAAATCATTTGTATAAATTTTCCGGCAACTTACATCATAAACCATAATCAAAATCCTTCAGCACTGCCTACCCACCATTTCAGTGGGTTCAAAACAAACATAAATGTAACTTTTTAGGAATAGTTTACATCAACAGAGATACATAGCATCAATTGCACAGACACATGAAAACTCAGCCGCAGCTATACTAATATCATAAATCAAATTCGATTTCAATAACACAAAAAATATACAATACAACATATAAAACAATCGTTACACTCTACACACCAAACAATTTCTACATAATCTAAATCGACAACAATTTATCCCACCTTTCCCTAAAATCCTGCCTATAATAATCCTGAAAGGTAACAATGCCCATACGACAAACTGTTCCCCTTTTTGTCCCATTGTCGACCCTTTCACTTCAAAGAACAAAAATGAATTTACGCAATTAATTATACACAATTTTTTCGAAATGAAAAATTTGTGTCACAGGTGGGATTCGAACCCACGACTTTCGGCTAAATACGCCGCTGCTCTACCACTTGAGCTACCGTGACTTTGATCGCCCATGCCACAAATTTTCCAGTTTGGCTACCCGTTTATTCCAATTGTAAGCAAATCGCGGCTTCATATAGAAACTCTTTTATTACCGATTTAAAGTGTTTCTATATGGAGCCGCTATTTGCTTACAATTGGAATAAAATCGTGGAGTCGAAATGAGAAGTTTGTAGCTCAAGAAGTAGAGCAGCGGCGTATTTAGCCGAAAGTTGTTGGTTCGAATCCCGTCTGTGACACAAATTTTATCATTTCGAAAAAATTGTGTATAATTAATTGAGTAATTATATAATTAATAATAAGCTGATAAACATAATTAAAAAGTTAGTATTAATTTCTATCCCTACTTCGTTCGTACTCCTTCAAAATCAAACATATATAAACAAAAAAACCACATTTATATCTTACTAACACTTGCAACAAGACACACACACAACCGTGACACATCTACACATAAAACACACACATTGAGTGAGTAGAAATATTTTGAATAAACCTAAAATTTCTATATTGCGTACGTCATTGTATAAATTCATTTTCACATGTTACATGTATTTGTATAATCCAAACAATGTTTGTAAATCCCTGGCCCTGAAGCTGATCTGAATAAAGATCGAAACCGATGAGACAAATAAAGAAAATATTTATCTAAACCTACATCACACAAGACCGCATCTCACGGTCTCCAAATGTTCTTTTGGTCATTTATTTTCTCATTGTGTTCATTTTTGTCGGTTTCCTTGTAATTAATATTGTGTTTGTGTGCTAGAGGTTTCCTCTTCACGTTGGGTAGAGTGTGTCTAAAAAAACAGCCAAATCTGGCACACAATATGACATATTTAAAAGCAAAAAGCAAGGTAGCGAAATGACATTCAGTTCAACGATGGAAGTTCTCGGAACGGGAAAGCGTGATGAAAGGGCCTTGGGGAGTGGAGATAGGATGGATTGAATGGCTTGTGTTAATTGTCTGAAATCAGTCGGTTCGTTGTCAAAAGGAATGTTGAAGCGATGTAGTAAAAAGATTTGACAATTTAATTGAGTACATTCGATTGGAAATATTGTACGCACTGGACATTCGATGGCTCGGCATAACGACACATTTCCAGTCTTAAGTGTTCGCAGTAATGTTTATTAAAAAGTTAGTTGAGTTTTGATGGTCCAAATAGACTTCGGTCCGGAATGTCTTCGTCTATGTTCAAGGTCCTTTGCTGTCTAGGTATAGTCGTAAGTATCAGATTTAAAGTCTATAGTTTCGTGATGTGTAGTAAACGGCTTCATCAGTTTCAATGTAAACACTGGGTATATTTTTCCTTAGTCAGTCTTGTCCTAACGAACTCAACGTTTTGTTTCAGACTTTGAGCAGCTCAAGGTGTTTTTTTTTTTGTTTTTTTTGTATGTTGTAGTTTAGTTGGTTTCTTGGATGGGATTCCGATTAGAAGACATTGCAATATCATTGGCGAAAATGGTACTGATACTCCGATAAAGGAAAGTCAATAGTGTGCAATGGTATACATGAAATTAGAATGTACCCTTGCGGGATGCCGGCTTGTTTTAGTCTTATATCTGACAACTCGTTGCCGCACCTTACTCTTAAGCTGTCAGTTAAATAAAATTCCAAGACAACGTAAAAGGGAGTGGATTCATAAAGGTAAAGTTTATAGAGGGTGCCTTTCACAAGAAAAATTAATTTTTAATTTGAATATACAAATTTATTTGTTTTTAATTATTGATTTATATTAGTGCTTATATTTTAAATGTTTTTTTCCTCGTTAGTAAAGATTCCGCTATATTTTGGGTATTTCAGAGAATGTGTCTACTTCTGGATGTGTAAGTAATTAGAAGAACAATAGAACAGTCAGTGTGTTGTATGTTTTGATTAATATTTATTGTCAGTTTCATCACATGAAGAGTAATAATGGAGCCGGAACATTATGAAAATACAAAAAAAATCTCATATAGAACAAGTTGTTCTATGGGATAATATGTACCTATACATCTACATTTTGGACTAAATTTAAACTAAATAAATAAATAAAAAATAGTAAAGAATAAAGTTGTATATACCTGTTCACTCTTTACATAATGCATTTAACAAATATCAATTAATTAATCTTTATGTAAAGTTTTGGTTGAAATGAAAAAATTAGTGTGACGAACGGGATTTGAACCCACGACCTTCGGCTCAATACGCCGCTGCTTTACCACTTGTGATATCGTGAATTCGGTCCACTCAGACACCAACTTACCATCGCAACCTATAATAGTTCAATTTTCCCTCTTTTTTGTCATTTTCAAATGTCGTGGAATCAGGATTCGATTCTCGGCGATAAATGAAATGGCCGCGGAGAGCATTAGAGAAAATATACTTCCTTTTACTTATTAAATCCATTGTATTTCGTAGTCCGAATGACCAAATAACTTCTTTCAATTAATTAATCTTTATGTGAGGTATTGATTGAAATGAAAAAGTTAGTGTCACGAGCGGGATTCGAACCCACGACCTTCGCCGTTGCTCTACCACTTTAGCTATCGTGACGTAGATCCACTGAGACACCAACTTCCCATCTCAACCAACGTTTCGAATTTTCCCTCCTTTTTGCCATTTTCAACTTTTTCATTTTAACCAATATCTTACATACATATTAATTTATTGAAAAAAGTTATTTGGTCAATCGGATCACGAAATACAATGGATTATTTAACAAGTTTCGATGTTCGAAGGTCAACTTCATCTTCAGAACACAGTTTAAACTTGTATTTATCACTATTTTTTAATCAATTTTAGATACTCTTACAGATTAACTTTTCCGCTTCCTCATTAATATTTTTTATTACAGACGGACTTTTCACTTTTGTACATTATTATTTTGTACGAAGTGGACAAAGAGGAAAATGAAAAATGTCTAATGAGAGCAGTAAACAGAGCCTTTGATTTACCCAAAACAGATGGATATTACACTAATAAGAAAACCAATTTAAAACGTAGAAATTTGTATTTTTAAAGACTATTTGTAGTTTGTGTTTCTTACTTAGTGCGCCTGCGTGCGTATGAAACAATATATAAATAAATTTTAATATTATGATTGCGTATATTTTACAAGCTTAAATTTGTTCATCTTTTGCTAATTGAATATGGTTGTGTATTTATGTGTGTGTTTTAGTGTCTCCGTGACTTTTATATTAACACCGAAGGCCACTTTCGATCGTTGTCTACCAAAAAAATTAGTATTCATTGCTCTTCCTCGCGGCCCTGACAACATCTAACCCATTCTTATAAATCCGTTAGAAATTCTTTTTGTTGGTAAAAAAAAGGCTTAAATATTTTCAGCCATGGTGAGTTATGTTTCATGACTTGAACAAATGGTAATTTCGGATTTCCACAATGACGAACGTTTACAGTTTCTATTCCTTTTAATTTTCTAATTCAATTAATTATTCTTTTCATCTAAGGTTTTTAGTTGAGACGAAAAATTAGTGTCACGAGCGGGATTCGAACCCACGACCTTCGGCTCAATACGCCGCTGCTCTATTCATTTGGGCTATCTTGACTTCAAGTGAATAGAGCAGCGGCGTATTGAGCCGAAGGTCGTAGGTTCGAATCCCGCTCGTGACACTAAATTTACATCTCAACTAGCAACCTTAAATGAAAAGAATAATTAATTGGAATAATTTATATGGTGAATTATGGCCACTAACAAATATGGAATTATTTTCTAATATGAATGTGTTATATTGTATTGTCAATATTTTTTATTATACTTTAATGTAATAAATTTAATGACTATATGAGAATACAGTACGAAAATCTAGCAGGATGTAGCGTCAGAAGAAGTAATAATTTATATAAAATAACAATAGTAATTGCAAATTTCGAAAACCTGGTCAAAAATATTGCCATAAATTCTTATTTCACTTCATACAATTCAGGAAAAATGGTAAAGGATTTTTTTATTTTAACGTATTTCCACCAGGTTGAAGTGATCAGATAGTTCAGACCGGATGAGATGGAATGACACAGTTTTTGCGAGGTTGCATAAATAATCGTAAAAAAAAACTGGGTTGTCACAAAGGATTTACCTGGCAGGCATCTTTCCCTCCCCTTTCGAACCCGGCGCACATGAATATGTCAGGAAAGAATTCGTGCCGTCCAGCCCTCAGGAACAAGTTTTTGCACTGCTCATTGCTAATGATAGGAACGGTCGCCTGAAAGAAAAAGAAAAACATAAAAAAACATGAATATGCAACAGTATTATTAAAATAGAAATTAGCAAGATTTTAACTAACTGCTGAAATTTTTAGACGGTTGTAAGTACTACATTATAAAAATGTACTTTTTTATGAGCAATGTCTCGTTTCAGCTTGCAAGAAAATCAACTTAATCTTTGCTTTGTCCATCTACAATTTTATATTAAAACCGGAAGAAAACTAGCAATTTAATATGATGTTATAAAATGTGAAACTTTTGCTCGTTTGCGATGCGAGAAGCCTGTCACTGTGTCTTCTCTATCATACATTAAACTTAACAATGAAAACTTTAATAATTAGCCCTGTTATTTTTGCAAATGTTCTGAATATTTCAATACATAAAAATTATACATTTATGGGTTCATATTTAATCTTTTGCAATTACAAGTATTAGGATTTAATTTATTTAAGCATTACCATCAAATCTATTAAGAAGAATTATAAATTTATATCTGCACAAAGAGCAAATAATAGCTTATTTTACACGAGTAACACAAATTATCTGTGTACCACCTGGGTTCGAATCCCGCTCGTGCTATTGACTTTTTTATCTCAACCAAAAACCATAATCAATTGAAAAATATTAATTATTAATCGGGAGATGCGGTCTGATGTGACGTAGGTTTCAGAAAAACGTTTTGTTTATCGTGCCAACGTTTCGGTTTTTATTGAGATCATCTCAGTGCTCAAAATGTTTGTTTTATCCGTAATTGTGCCATTCAGGATTACTAAATTCACTAATTTCGTGGTCCGCTTGACCAACTAATATATTACAATTAATTAAGGTTTTTAGTTGAGATTTGAAAAAATGGCAAAAAGGAGGGAAAATTCAAAATGTAGGGTTGAGAGCAGTGGCGTATTAAGCCGAAGATCGTGGGATCGAATCCCGCTCGTGCCATTGACTTTTTTATCTCAACTAAAAACCTCAATTAATTGTAATATTAATATATTTGTAATATATATTGTATTATATATTGGTCAAGCGCACCACGAAATTAGTGAATTTAATGAATTTAAATGAAATATACTACACTAAAACTCTCCGTGGCCATTTCATTTGTCGCCTAGAATCCAATCCGATTACACGACATTTGAAAAATGGCAAAAAGGAGGGAAAATTCAAAAGGTGCGGTTGAGATGGGAAGTTAGTGTCCAAGTGGATCGAGGTCAAGTAAGGTCAAGTGGTAGAGCAGCGACATATTTAGCCGAAGGTCGTGGGTTCGAATCCCGCTCGTGACACTGACTTTTTTATCTCAACCAAAGCCTAATTCCAATAATTTCCTCCTAAGTCTAATTAATTTGAAATTAGACTAAAATATATTAAACATTGGTCATTGGTTGAAGATAAATTGAGCCTGGCCATCTAAAAAGGACACCCTGCGGTACACAGCTAATTCGATTGACGATATTAGATATTAGACCCACGATGTTCGAATCCCGCTCATGCCAATGACTTTTTTATCTCAACTATAAACCTCAACAATTTCTAAAAGTCGGAAATTTATTAGCATTAGTATCTTTTTATAGCTACTAAAATACGTTTTTATATTTTTCAATTTTCATTAAAACATATTTTTTGTTAATTCCACTTTTAATGCCACATTTCGGGTCACATTAAAGCATTTTAATTAAAGTATGCAAATTTTTCTTTTAGGATAAAGCATTAAAGAAACTTTTTTGATACAAAATAAATCACAAAGGAAAGGAAAGTAAAAATCAAAATTAAGGTTTTTTTTTAATTTCAGAACAAACGTCAAGATAAACAGAATTTATTCATCTCGGCATTTCTCGCCATTATTGCTGGATTCAAAGCAAACGTATATATAAATAATTCTGATTGGCCAATTTCAATAGCTCTCATTTGTACGAGTTAATTTAGCTGACGCGACGTGTGGGAATATCTCGGATGAAAATTAATCGAAGTTATTGGACCCTCAGTAAAGTGGCCAAACTGGCAAACATGAGTGGGAACTCCCTTGAAGGAATGAAACAAGTACACAAATTATAATTTGAAGATCAAACATTTAAGACAAATAGAATTAAATAGATTGATGTGGGGAGGGGAATAAACTGATTAATTCCTTCCTAGAAAAAAACTGGAAAAAAAATTACTGATAAGACCATGATGACATTATTCAATAAAATAAGCATACATCATTATTAATAGCTTAAAAATAGTATTTTTGGTATAATAATGTCATTGTTGGTTACCATAAAAACAACACAAAATTGTTCTACGACACAGAAACTCATAAGTTAGTATAATTGAAAAGGTTTCAACAAAATGCTGCTTTTTTTGCATATTTTACCAAATATTCTGTAAGTAAAGTACGTCAGAAAATGATCAAAACTTGGATATGTTATAAAAACCTTAGATACGGACTTTTGCGTAAATCGGCGTAAATTAATTTTTGACTGATAATTTCGACAACCTTCTGACATTATTAGTGCAAAGGACTCATTTTTCTCAAAACCAAGAAGACCCATTTTCATAGATGATAATTATTTAAAGGAATTATCTAGTGCATTAAATCTAATCTATTGAATACATTTAATAAAACGAGGTTAATTTTTGATAAATAGTTTTCCTATTTTAAGTATTTTCTTTTTCTTCTAAAAAATGTATTCTTTTATACATTTTTATGGTCCATACGTCCTTAAAAACAACGTTGTTCTTCTTTCAAATTGTATGTTTCACGTTAAAATCATTCTAGCCATTTTTGAATTATAGCGTTTGAATCACATATTCCGATAACTACTTCTTAAAATTTGAAAAAAATTTATGAGTTAAAAATCGATAAATTTTAATTCATACAAAATTTATATTTAAGGGTCTCTAGAGGTGCTAAAACGAAATTTCATATTAGTTTACAAAAAAATTTAAGTTAGTTTACTTGACAAAATTTGGTTTTTGAAATTGGTTGGTTATTGACAAACTTTGATAGATTTTACTACATTTTTATTGGGGCGTCGGTGGCCGTAACGGTTTAGGCGTTGACAAGGCGCTCATCACTGTAAGTTAAAGGTCCCGGGTTCGAATCCAGCCGTCCTGCATTTTAACCCGACATACTTAAATGAGCTTTTTTCCAAAAACACGGCAACATAAAAAATGCTGTAAAAATATATATTCACATAGTTGATTGGAGCAAGTAGAATGGCATAATAAAAATATTAAAAAACGGTAAATTTCAAAGTTCAAAACATTTTGGGCAAAATCGAAGGACTATCCCCAAGAAATGACGAATACGTGTTGGATATTTTGGAGTGTAAAAGCACCAAAAATATCCGGTCCAAACACGTCAAACACCAACTTGGTCGTCCCTTCGTTAGTCTTTTTTCTTATTGTTCATTGTACGATTGGTATTACATAAATAAAAACGATCAATTTTTTAATGCTATAAGCTGTATGTCTCATCCGGATTGCTTGCTATTTAATAAAACATCGATATTCTGGTATCGAATATTCTGGGATGATCTGATTACAAGTCTCACAGTAACTTTTAATAGTTTTTGAAACGAACGAATAATGAATACCAAAGCGATTAGCAAAGTAGCAAGAAATTTTTATTTTTTTCAGTTAATTAAAGTAATATTTTACATAGAACAAATAATATTACTGTTTAAGCAAACAGATGGTTAGTGTCAAAAACTACAAAAAGTAAAAAAAAAAACAATCTGGATTTGTGTGTTGTGATAATAGTATTTTTCTTGAAAAAATTTTTGTCTAAAAGTTTTTTTATTTGAAAAATTATATATTCTCTTATGTTTAAGTATTTAAGCTGAAATATTTTCTTAATTTGAACTATTGTTAATATTATACGTACGTCGATTTGTCATTTAAAAAAAAAAAATTTCCCTATATCGCTTTGAAGATGATAAAACGTGATGATGAAAGATGATAAAAATTAGACATTTTTACTCACAACACTTGACTCCCTCCTCATTTAAAGAAAGAGGCAGAAAATAAATTCCTCAGTGAAGGATAGCAAATGGATTCTTGCTAAAAAGATGAAGGTACGCGTCACAAAGAAAAATGAAAAAAGCTTATTTGGACTGAAAGAATTTTAAATTACTCAAATATGAATTATATGATTTAACAATCAAATATTTCCTTTGTATTTCGTAAAAAGTTTGTTATTCGTATTATAATATTCAACGAGGGATTTTTTTTCTATATATTCGTCATGTATTTTATGAAAATAATTCAATAAAACAATTGCGTTTATCCAATTTATACTGTAAGTGTTATTGTTTAATCTTAACGTTGAGAAATTCAACGTGGAACCGGTGAATATGATCGGAAGATAGGGCCGGAATAAAATCTGGTCTCTCGTAAATCTGGTCACCGTCTGTCAACCGATATTAGGTTCCATTATTTGTCTTCAAAACGCAAGGTGAAATCGTAACTCTCAATCATACTGCGATCACGATGATTTACGACGTGTAAAACCATGGAAAGGTAAGTAGATCTTAAACCGAAAGTTCAGTTTCCTAAATTTATTTCAAACTGTAAATAATTATTTATATTTCGGCAGAGAATAAAGATTTTTCTTTGTCCCATTTCACTTTCCTTTATCTGTTGCAACTGATATTTTATTTTTACTGGATTTGTATGACTTAAACTCACTTTTTCTCACTTTTACTTTTCTTTTCAACTAACTTAAAATCAATATAAAAAAATCTATAATTTTTATAATTTTAACATATTTAATTGAATTTAATTTCATAATTTTTATCAACAGACCAGTCTGAGAAAGCCCTCTATAAAATACTAAACATGTGTGACTTAACCGCTGTGCGGGTTTAGCATCGTATAGAGCCGTAAGCGTTTAATTTATGCTCTTTTAATTTCATGTTATGTTCTATTTTAATTATGTTATACCTTTTCAAAGTTTTTATCCACCCCTAAACATAATGAAATAACCAACGCTTTTTAAAATAGATAATTTTTTCCTCTGTCTTTAAATAACCTTCAATAATTGGTTCTTTGGTGCTAATTTTACAACTGCGATATATTTCACACTAATAATTAAAAGTATTATTTTGTGGAGAAACTATTGAAGAAATTAGATAGACAATAGCATTAACAAAGGGTTACGGACGATTATGGAATCTTTTTTCCAGAAAATATAAGTTTTCTCACTTGGTAAAAACACGAAAAGAATTCGCGGTTGAGTAACTGAAGTAAGTAAGTAACTGAAAAATAAATTTCTGTTGTGATGACATTGTTGTCGATTTGCTTTTGCAATTTGTTTTTTATAAATAGATAAAAATTCAAATTTTCTCACCTGCTGGAGTACACTTGGCAGCGTGCCGCCGTCGCTGAGCCTCCCCCAGCCAGTGACAGTAGCGTTTTCGCCGATGAGAAGATCGTCGCTACCTGGAAGGCAGATAGGACCGACGTGCGCCTGGAAGACAATAGGCCCGTCCACCTTCACCATGGCGAGATCATACTCGTACGTAAAAAAGTTATACTTTGGATGAACTACCTTCCTAGCAGCGCCCTTTTCCTGGAAAGGAAACGGCTCTAGGGTGCTAGAAAAATCGAACTCGCCTACTCTTATCCTTATCTGGGAAAGAAGCAAGCTGAAACAAGACAAAACATATATATTGTAAATAAATACCAAACTTGCTGTTTTTAATAAATCAAATTTAATAAAATGTATATGCCACAAAATTAATAAATAACATGATACAAATAATTAGCTGTGGGTAATGTCTTCAGGTACTAAATTACGCCTAATTTGGAAACTCTTCGTTTTAATTTTGTTCGGATAATTATTGGCTTTTGTTCAATTTACGAAAGGAGATTTATAGCTCTTATCTCGTAACGCAGATAGGAGGTCCCATTTTCTCAGTTTGCAGTTTATTTCACCAACTATGACTGATCAAATTTATTAGCAATTAGAGATGAAAAATATATTTAAAAATCGAATATTAACAAATCAGATAATAAATATATTTGATAAAATTTTTAGTGCAATCTGAAATAAAAACTTTATTGATTTTAACTGGAAAATACATTCCCCTACGAATTGATCGTTAAATTCTTACTCTAATACGTAATGTGCGTTGGTCTGTGTGTTTTGTAATTTTCTTGTAGAAAGTTTTATGCAGTTGTCGATTATTCTTCTTAGTAGTTTATAAAGTCTGTTCAGTTCTACTCATTAATACAAGGAAAGAGCTTGTACACATTGTTGAAGGATTGTGGATTGGATTTACTGTATTCTTGAAGTTTGGAATATTGGTGAATCCCAAAGATTGACTCCAAACATACAGATCGGTAATTATGTATAGATGTGACGTTTGTTTTGTAATGAGTTTTTATGTTGCCAATAATCTTTTGAGTAGTTTCTATCGTCTGTTCAGTCTTTTCAATCGCTTGTGAGGGTTGTAACCATGTGTTTTGTCCAAATAAAGTCTCAAATAGCAAAGGACATTGGTTGTTGGAAGAGGAACCACAAAAATAGTAGATTAGAGGTGATTCGGCGCACATTGAAATCTATTAACTGAGATTTCGTTTCGTCGAGTCGGATCCTCCATTTCTTAAAGATTCTTCCAAATTAGATGGTCCTCGAGGTTTCTGAAAGCCAATTGTGGACTGGGTATGCTTAAAGGATGGTTGTTTTGTCTTCTTATGTGAGAAGTACTATACCAGGATTGATAGGAATGTTTGCACTATATACTGAATATAGACTAGGACCAAGTATGTTGCCTTGCCGAACATCCCCTTTTGCAAAGAGGACAGAGAGTGACAGGTGTTACGAATCCTACTTGAAAATACCTATTGAAAATTTTTCACTGGGACTTGAATCAGTGATTAATTTGTCCTCGGGCAAAATACAAATTTTAAGATATATTTTAAGGTGCTCTTCAGAAACATACAACGATTTCGACATAATTTATTACAACAATATCGATTTCCGGGGCACTAGCCTCCTCTCTTCAGTCTGGTTTCAATTTTAGAAACTCATGATAATAAGCGAACAACCACGAAGGAACAAGAGAAGAATAATGTATAAATTATTTTCATGCAACAAGTTCGATGTTAATGCAAGACGAAAACAACTGCCTGATAAATTGAGAATGCGGAAAAAAATTATCAAATCTTTGTATAAACAAAAAAAGGAGGAATTCTTACAAATGATAAATGTCTCACAAGAAATATATCGACAATTCATCTCTTCTTCTTTATACAAAAAAATTTAATAACAATAAAATAACGTTGCTTTTTACCTGGAAACTTATTAAAAATTATTAGGTCTAATATACATTATATTTGTTACTTAAATATAAAATTAATTATCACATTGGTTTATTTTAACAGCTAGCAAATATATCTTTCTTTTAGCAATATTATTATATCATTATTCATTCGACTATTTATTTATTGGACATAAGTTGAGTATTTCTATTTTATTTTCATTGAAAAATTTCTTATATGAAATACTTGTAAATAATTATTTCATACTGTTCTAATAATAACAAATTTCTGGTTACTGATAGTTGTACAAAACGTATCACTTATCGCAGTCTACGGGCAATTCCAATTCGTAATTTACAATAAACCACCGGCAGGATTCGGAAATCACTGTTGTTGGTGGTCGGGTGTTGGCAGTCCACGTTCAGACCTCGGACTTACACATCCAACCACCGAGGTTGGTCTCCGGGTGCTGTCAACACCAAGGTCATCCGTACCCTACGCATGCAGTTCCTAAATCCAAAGCCATTCACACTCTCACGCACCCTCAAATACATTCCTGTTTACATACCATTTACTCAGTTAGGGTGCGTTCCCAAATATTCGGTCGTCCTTCGAAGGACAATGAGACTCTTTACCTCCGAACCTGGCTCATGGCCTTGCCGGACGTTTTGATTCTAAAGATGGGAGATGGCGGACCTCCCCACACGCCTGATGTGTTACAGCCGCAGCGTTGGTGTACAAGCTGTCCCAGCCCCGAGGGGCAAGACGAACCTCACTCCCCGCTTGCACATTCCGAATGGTCGGGTCTTCATTAAGCATCAGACCTTATGCCGCGCGTAAAGGGCTACCAAGGCCGAAATACATCAGCCTAGTCTCCCACCCTAGATAAAGAACGCCACTCTATTTCCCTGAATATTGGGGCTCCTCTAGCGTAAGGATTTCCGGATCTGCTCCGATCGCGGTCTTGTGTAAAGTGGAATTGTTAACCACCCCCTAGACTGCCTTCGGTAACAATCCCTAACCAGTTAGAATGGTGAAGTATTTGAACTTTGATGGAGGACTCAATATGCCGCCATCGTCATCTCATACTATGCATTCACGCTTATAAATACATTCACTATCAACACACTAGAGAACACAAAACGATACATACATACGTAAAGTACATTATGGGAGAGTTTCCTTCAAAAATCGAAACAGAGGACTCAAATACTCCCTGCCGTGCTCAAGCACAATTCTCATTTCAGGTTGCATTCCTAAATGTTCTTTATACGGAACCAAAGAATTGCATCCTTTCATTAGGAGGAACACATCGCCAGACACATACGCGGTCCAAGAGTGTGAAAAAATGGGTGTGAACCTGGCATAGCCTGTTCTTAATTGGGTGAGGATGACCGTTATTCTACGAATTAAATTCACCAAGGACAACCTATTTTTAATAACAATAACGATATAATAAAAAAAATAATATTCAGCCAAAGGCAATTGATTGCAGATGTTTTACGTTGTAAAAACCTAAGAGCCCATAAAAAGTATTAAATATAACGAGTGAGTAATGTTTCAAGAGGCGTGTTCATGGTATGTATTAAAAATAAGATAAAAGCCGTAAAACCGACGTTCTAGATAGATTTATCTTACAAAACATCACGTTTATTTTCATATTTTCCTATAAAAAAGGTAGTATTTATGTAAATGTTATTATTGTAATATATACAAGAGAAGATGATACACACACAAATATTTATAGGAACGTTCAAAAGTTCAACTAAAAATAAAAGTATACACCGAGTTAATTATTTACCAGAAGATTGCAAACACCTTAATCGTAATTGTTTTAATTAAAAATAATGGGTGTTTGCATTTATTAACTTTATCAAGCAAGACTTTTGATCAGCTGTCTTTATAAAATTTGTTATTCTAGCAATGAGTAAAGAGTTTTATGTGAATGTCTTCTTTTTTCTTACAATTGACTTTTTCATTGACAAAATTGTAACAGAATTATTCTTTTTCAAATATGCATGATATAAAATGAAATAACGTACGCTTATGCAAAAATACTCCAACTTTTTTTTTAAATACACAGTGAATGAATCAAAAATCTCCAAGAGTTGGGGAAAAGCAACAACCTGATATTATCTTTGATTCCTAGACCCAAAGGAATATTGGGTAAATAGAAGAAAGATAACTGACCAGAGGAGAATCTGCGAGATAAATAAGACTTGAATATATGCTTTGGATGATAAAACAAAAGTAGATTCTTTCATCATAGAATGAATTGAAAAAATATTGAGCACCATATACAAAAATATAGTGATAGAACTATATACAGGTCAGTGGCATCTGATAAAACATCTACATTGCATCGGTATATAAAAACAATCTCGTTTCTAGGCTATGCTATGATAAGGAATATGTTTGGCTGTTTAAACATATTACATTTGGAGCGATACAACCGCTCAATAGAGACATTACCGGAGAGACAAAGGAAATCCAGGCAAAAACTGCTGTAGCGACCTAACAGGTATTTCTTAAGAGAAGTATGATTGTAATATAACTGAACTAAGTAACTTGGAAAGTAGAATAAACAAGATGGCTGATGTGCTTGGGGACTTCCATCATCATCATCCTACATTTTCTCTGCTTCACTAAAAAACAATGAAACATGGATACGTAACTTAATCCGTACTAAGCCGATCACTAGCCTTCACCTGACCCGTCCCTAGCCTAACGTAGCCCAACCCATTCCCACTATAAAGTAACTCACAATCGATGATGCAAAATGATCACGCGCAACATATTTGTGTCTCAAGACCAAAAGCATATCCGTGGTAATACCATAAAAGAAAATATGTTTCGATTAGTAAGAACAATGAGAATTTTAGAAAATATTGCTGGTACACCAGCTCATAGTACTAATTCATTTTCAATGCGATACTGTTTAAAATGAAAAGTACAGAAAAAATAATAAAACAGTTTAAAAATAGAGAATTGTTTATTTCTTTTACCTTTGATCAAGCATTTTTTTATTTTTCAATTTTTATAAAAGAAAAAATTAAAATTATGAAAGATAACATCTAGAGAGTCTTAAATATAAATTTAACTTTAATTTTAAAATAAATATTAATTAATAAACAGTGGTATGAAAACAAATTAATTTTTTAGCAATTAGGTAAACTTAATGTTTTTCACAATTGATCAACTAATACTGTTTTAAAAGAAAAGTTTAAAAAAAAGTTTAAAAATAGAGAATTGTTTACTTATTTATCTTTTACCAAGCATTTCTTTAATTCTTCAATTTTTGTAAAAGAAAAAAAAATTGAAATTGAAAATATGACATCTAAAGAATTTTAAATATAAATTTAACTATAATTTTAAAATAAAT